GTTTATAAATAGTGCGTTTTAAGAATTTTTCATGAAGTAATTCAGTCTTCTACTTTTTATTATCGCACCACACGCACCCGAATCGAGTTAATCTCTACTACTTGAAATAGCTGGGTTTATAAATAGTGCGTTTTAAGAATTTTTCATGAAGTAATTCAGTCTTCTACTTTTTATTATCGCACCACACGCACCCGAATCGAGTTAATCTCTACTACTTGAAATAGCTGGGTTTATAAATAGTGCGTTTTAAGAATTTTTCATGAAGTAATTCAGTCTTCTACTTTTTATTATCGCACCACCCGCACCCGAATCGAAATAATCTCTACTACTTGAAATAGCTGGGTTTATAAATAGGGCGTTCTAAGGCATACTATTTATTACGTACCATTAATTTTTCCAGTTCACGGTGTTTTTCGAACATTATGACACTAAATCCTATATTAAACGAGGCTTGAAATCATCTAGTGAATGTTTGTCTAAGGTTGCAATACATAAAATTTTTAAATAAATAGCTCAGAGGTCCGAAGTGTTTTTTGAAAGTCAGTATAATAAATAGTCAAATAATTAATAAGAATTAGCGACACATTTCGAAGAATTATTCGTATATAGCGGATAGTTAGCGGTAGGCAGCGGCTTGGTTCTGCCCCTGGCATTGCTGAAGTCCATGGGCGACGGTAACCACTCACCATAAGGTGGGCCGTATGCTCGTCTGCCTACAAGGGCAATAAAAAATAATAATAATATCAAAGCAAAATAGCAAAGTATCTAGAGGTAAGCTGCAATAGTTTTCAAGAATTAAAATGGATTTTTCTCCGCTGTTGCGACATTTCCCGATTAAGCGATGAATGTAGAAATTATATAGAATCGAAGCCACTAATAGATTTTATGGAGTCGTGCTTAGAATGTTTTAACACAGGAAGGTATAATTACTTGTACACTTCCAACTAAAACGTGGTTCCGATGCGTGGAGTGAGAAGTTTATAAATAATTTGTATTCACGCTTTAAACGTTCGTGGCTAATGAAAGTTTTGCTTAAGAAGTTCTGTTTTGTGGTGCTATTTGGCATTTATTCAAGCAAGTTAAACTTTCTTCATGAATTTTCATCACGTAATTTGCTCGTGTTAATTGCATTAGGGAAATAGTCTATGTTGAATGATGCCAGCGACGATTCATAGGTCGCTTGAGACAAAAATGATAAAACTTTTATGTTATGTCTTTGTATATTGTTCTTATTATATACCTACTAGCTGTACCCGCCCGCTTTGCTGGGCATTTAAAATCAACATTATTATTTCTCATCCCCACAAAGATTCTCATAATTAACGCACCCGCAACTGGTGTAGGGAGTCCAACACTCACATAAATATTAGCCTATCCATTAAGTACACGTATTTCCTACATGGATTCAAGTCAATCGGATGCATGGTTCAGTAGTTATAACGGAACATCCGTAAAAACGACTGTAGATTTATATATTAGTATAGATAGGATAACTATTTCACTGCTTTTTTAATATTGTGTGCTTCAAAACTTACCTGTGAAAGGGTTGTTTGTTCAGGGTCTGATCGCTCTTCCAGTACTGTGTCGAGTTCTAGGGTAGGTGGCGGTCGCGGCGATCTCACCAAGCTCACCGGCCGAGGCTTTGCTTTCACAGGAGACAGGCGCACCACGGAGAGCTCACCTCTATCCAGCTCGCAGTTACGCCGTCTGGCGCGTTCTCTGTTCATACATGAATTGAAACCATGAATTGAATTTTTGTTTGTCAATTAATTTTTTATTTTTTATGTAGACGTATAGACGTATGGCGCATATACGCGATTAAATGCAGCAGAGATGCGAATGTTGTGATGGATGTGTGGAGTAACGAGAATGGATAGAATACGGAATGAATATGTTAGGGGAAGTCTGAAAGTGGCACCTGTGACAGAGAAGCTGAGAAGTGCACGTTTGGGATGGTATGGACATGTGATGAGACGAAAATGAGGTTGGTAAGAGAGTGTTAACTATGAATGTGGAAGGATATAGAGGAAGATGTGGATCTAAGAAGATATGGATGGATTGCGTGAAAGACGATATGGGTAAGAGATAAGTGAGCGAGGAAATTGTATGTGATAGAAGAGTATCGAAGAAGAAAACATGCTGCGCCGAATCCAGGTGACTGGGAGAAGAGCAGGAGAATGATGATGATGAGACGTATAGACGTATATTTTGTAATACCTCATACGAAGCGCTTACTTGAAGTCACTCCTTGCAGAAGGAGAATAAATAACCTAGCCTATTTTGAGAATTAAGTTTATGTACCAATTACACTGGATTCACGGCTTTTATAATACCTACTGGTGGTAGGACCTCATGTGAGCCCGCGCGGGTGGGTACCACCGCCCTGCTTATTTCTGCCGTGAAGTAGTAATGCCTTTCGGTTTGAAGGGTGGGGCAGCCGATGTAACTATACTTGGGACCTTAGAACTTATATCTCAAGGTGGGTGGCGCATTTGCATCATAAATGTCTATGGGTTTCAGTAAACACTTAACACCAGGTGGGCTGTGAGCTCGTCCATCCATCTAAGCAATAAATAAATAAAAACTTCTCGTTGTTTTCATATCAAGAGATGTGACTATGCCGGTTTTTTCTTCCTTCTTAAGCTATAGCTATTATAGCCTTGAGAGGCTATGTCAGCGTAACCCTAAAGGCTCAAACGAGGAGGTGTTGCTAACATTAGCCCTAGCAAGAGCAGTGCTTCGGGGAATCTACCACCGGATCGGAAACGCGACCCACTGAGAATATCCGGCGAGAAACTCAGTGGGCGATGGCGGTGTTCGAATCCTGAAGGCAAGTATCAATTTAGAAAAAATATTTTCGTTTTGTATTTCGTAAAAAAGTGCGAATGACTTCCAGGACGTAAGAATAATATCGTTTAATAAAAATTTAAAGAGAGATACATACATTGGTGTACTTAATGGTGATAACGTGTATTATTAGCACGAACGAATAAATACTACAAACCTGTTTATTTCTGTCGCTGAGAAGGTACGTTTTCCGGTTTTAAGGGCGAGACTGCCAATATACCACAACATTGAGGCTTCGACGTCATATCTCAAGGACCTCAAAGTCTACGAGGTCCGATTACTACTTATCAATAGGTGGGCATTTGACTCACATAGGTACGCAAAAAAAATTGAGTTGAAATATTCTTTTACAACCTCGTATTCAAAATATTGTGTATTTGTTAACAAAATTATATCTACTATATTTATTGTTATATTTTTTAGAGTAAATATAGTTTACACGTTCCGCGAGACGATTTCTATTTTGTTTTTTTTTTAACTTTAATTAGAACCTTACAAATAAGTCTAAAAGGGTATTGAGAATGGAGCTTTGCTGATAGTTAACAAGTACGAAGAATGATGGTTATCGCAAAATATGATATTTGTATGTAAGTATGATATCGTATGCCCGAAATTCACTCCAAATATCATTCAATTCAATACGTTTCGGCTTTTCGATAAGCAAATTGAAAAGTGCCTCAAAGCGCCTCAGTGTCATATTCGGTTTATGTATTGAGATATCGCGCCGGATTTTATGTAGTGTATACTCCAGTGAGCTGTATTTTGGAAGAGCCACTCGTCGCCCATTGATAGCATCCATACTGACTTTTTCAGCTACACAAAATCTTTATTTATATACTTTGAGATATTGTACGTATAACTTTTGAACAGTATGGAAACGATTTCTGTTAGGTTTTACTACAATAAATAATAGTTTAAAAAAACTAACAAAATACTCTTTTATAGAAAATCCAACTAAAAAATAGAAAATAAATTTTATAATAATAAATTTGAATTAAAAGTAGTGTAAGAAAAAATGATTTTATTTTATTGATTTTATGTTATTTTAGTGTTTTAAAACTATTATTTAATATTTTTATTTTTTAGTTGAATTTTTCAATTTTTCAATTTGTTTTTAAATATTGAATTTTCGTTTGTCCTTAATAAGTATACTAAATTTAGAGTTAATCATGTTCAAAGATTCCGTTTCATACTAACATACATACGTCTGAAGCTAATAAAAGCGTATCAAAAAGTGTACTATGTATTAGCATATTTATCTGTCGATCACTACGATTGATTAGAATATGGCTTCCAAAGAAGCCCATAAGTCATGTTTTATAACGCATTTATTTATTTGTGAATGTAAAAAAGTAATCATAGGATGTCTTAAGGTAACCTAATTTATATTCCAGTTTGTTCTGAGCCGTTTCGCAGAGGAGCGTACGTTTGCAATAATGTTTTATTAAATATTCAGTTTTATGTTTCTTTGCAGCGCAGAATTGCTTTCAGCAATTTGGATACAAAATGAGTGAGTTTTTCTTTCGTTTCATTACTTGAAGAGAGCAAAATTTAATTAAAAAAATATAATGTACATAATTCCAGAAAAAAATAATTAAATAACTAAGATAGTGAAGAATATCAAGCGCTTTAATTAGTGGCTGAGAGTTTCGTTTAAAAAAAAAACTGTAATTTAACAAGAATACTACAAAAAAAGCGTTCTAAAACATAAATGATAGTGACATTGACAAATGGCTGGATTCGCGTCGTCTCCGCATAATGTGACGTTATTATCGGGCTCTCACAAGTAAGTAGGCTTTTGTTTTTACAGAAACCATACACGCGAAATCGATCATTATAGTACGAGATCCGACTGCAGGATTAGTGCGCTCATTGGTTATTTGCTAAAAACCAAATTTTTATGTATATTTATAATTAGAAGAATATATATCTACCAAGTTGCCTATCAAAATTTGGCCGCTAGTATTTTTAATTAAATTATTGTTAATTGCTTTTTGGGAAAAAAAATCGTTCACTTGTTTTTTAAATAAAATATCGTCTACATAAACTCTGTGTTACTTCCCGGTGGTTGAGAACACTAACATTCAACGCAAAACCGTCGCACAGCCGGCAATCGCTATCCTCGTCTGACAAATGATGTTATACGCGTTAACTCTCTTTCACTCTACCTTAAATATTTATCATCTTTAACAGCCAGCAACCCTTATTTGCGGCCAGATTTAATTAGGTAACCATATATGATAATTAATAGAAAAAATTTTGCTTCAATTTGATATATAATTAATAAATATACGTTATGAACGTAAAAAAGTATCGAAATCATACCTGTTTACACCTGGCTGCGAAGTGGTGCGGCCAGGTGCGCAATGGCAACCGTGATTTTTTTAAATCATTATGTAAATTGCCGTGATGTAGACGATATTTTATTTAAAAAACAAGTGAACGAAATTTTTTCCCAAAAAGCAATTAACAATAATTTAATTAAAAATACTAGCGGCCAAATTTTGATAGGCAACTTGGTAGATATATATTCTCCTAATTATAAATAAACATAAAGATTTGGTTTTTAGCAAATAACCGATGAGCGCACTAATCCCGCAGTCGGATCTTAGACTATTACAATCTAACGATACATTCATTATGATTCGGAATAGTAATGCGAGATATCGAAATCATTGTTACAATTCTAGATGTATTTTTTTTCTTACAGAAGATAGTATCGTGTTTATAACGACATCTTTTATAGAAGAAATGTGATGCGATGTGTTACTAATGTTACTTGTCAATGTAACACAATATTGATATCTGGAAAGTATCTGGACATTAAAACAAGAAATCGTAGTAGGATCCCGCTAAATAGTTGTGTTCATAATATTTCTGTCAAAAATTACGACATGAATCATCATTCTCTGTGCACCGTGATTTCAACTTAGTTATCACTATTAAATTATGAGATGAAAAAACTCAAATAATAACCTTGATTCCAAATAAAAATCGACATAAATATTATAAGGATATTTTAATAATTGATTGAATAACTTAACTAGAAAATGTTGCGACAATTTAGAATTTCCATCAACGTCAAAAATTAAATTGGTTCAAAAGAAACGTACAAAGTTATGGTGAAATTAAACACATTCTTCACATTGCGGTGAGCTAACACAGATTTTCTATTTATAAGTAGCTTTACCTAAATAATTATTATTTTTATTCATTTATTAGGTTGTTTGTATATACATTATTTACGAAAATCAATTATTTTACATTAAATTTTAATAAATTGTCAACATCAGAAACTAATTTCACCATAACTTTGTACGTTTCTTTTGAACCAATTGATTGAATTGAATTGAAAATAGAACCAAATGTCACAATTTGTGCGACTATCTAGTGGAATGAATAAGCTGGTAGAACTGAAGAGAACAGAATGAAAACCAATAAGCTGGTAGAACTGAAGAGAGAATCGAAGAATATAATAGAAGAATTTAATTAAATATTAAATTCAATTTTACTGTTAGAGCATGTCAACTGAATACACCTCTGTGATGTATTTGCTTATGTCCACGTGCTGGATTTGCGCCAATTACATATCTAGGCTTTGTTGGTCCGTTCTGAGTTGACAAGGACTATTGATCACCGCCCGTATGTAGATTGTCGAGGTATTGTAAAGGACGTGTAGTTAGTTACCTGGCTAGCTTGGCTCGACGTCGCAGGCAGCAAATAACCGTCAGTGCCAACAGTGGAAATCCAAATATACACGATACTATAGGCACTACGATAGACTCCGGCGTTACTGTGAACAAATAAAATTGTTTTTTTTAACTCTAAATTAAATAAATATATTTTAACAACACCCTTTTTTCGGTGTACCAACCAGCGTAGGTTTTTTTTTTTTGCTTAGATGGATGGACGAGCTCACAGCCCACCTGGTGTTAAGTGGTTACTGGAGCCAATAGACATCTACAACGTAAATGCGCCACCCACCTCGAGATATAAGTTCTAAGGTCTCAGTATAGTTACAACGGCTACCCCACCCTTCGAACCGAAACGCATTACTGCTTCACGGCGGAAATAGGCCGGGTGGTGGTACCTACCCGTGCGGACTCCCAAGAGGTCCTACCACCAGTTAAAAATATTGTCATATTCTTTCTCTGTCACGAAAGGAAAATTTAGTAAGTCGTAGATAGTAATACAACAAGCGTCAAGCGCGTTAATAATCTGTTTTTTGTGAGCTAAAAATAGTTCTTTTAAAGTATTCACTCATTTATATTTGATCTGTCAGATATTATGTAAGTACATACATTAAAATAATATACGAGTACTCTTTTTTTTCCCTACCTAAGCTGATGGTCTAGAGCAGTGATTCTCAACATTTTTTTTGTTGCGGCACATATTTAACGATTTCAAAATTTGGCGGCACACAAAAAAAAAGAAAAATTATTTACTTACTACAACACACTGCATAAATAGTTTATGAAAAAATTTTAATATATGAAATAAACTAAAATATACCCCTTTTTTTTGTGGATTTAAATATATATTCATGTTTAAAATATTTTTCTTTTAAAATGATATAATTTAATAATATTAACATTATTATATATTCGCAAAATTTGGCGGCATACTTTTGAAATTTGGCGGCACACAAAAGTGCCGCGGAACAGTGGTTGAGAATCACTGGTCTAGAGAGACCTTATCAGCGTCACGGGGCTAGTAGGTGAGCTCACGGGCCCAAGCCTCATGTTGCTAACACGAACCCTAGCAAGAGCAATGCTTCGCAGGATCTACCACTGGATCAGAAACGCGACCCACTGAGAAGATCCGGCGAGAAACTCAGTGGGCTGTGTCTGCGGGACGAGTACTCGTATAGTGCTGATTGTAAAGGATTGTAGTTCCAGAAAACGAAGACAGATGGCACTGCTGGTAATACGCGGCAAAATAAAAATGTTTTTTATGTACTGAATAGAAAATTGGAACACAATGAAAATTTAGTGTGATTGTTAGTGTCAACGTTTCAATGATCATTTGGTATTTATTAGTGTAAAACCTGTTGTTCGAGCGGTATGAGAACCCTTTAACATTCAACATTGTTGACGACATCTTCAAATCTGGTGGTGGTAAAATTATTCTATTTTAACACATCAAACAACGAAAATTCACGGTATTAGATTCTCAATGCTATCATAAATATAACAAGTAAATTTGTTTACGATGAAATGTACATACTACGTAAAAATGATTTGTCAATGGTTCATTTTTTTTACATTCAGAGCACATTAATCTCATTCAAAAAACATTAAGCCGCACATGTACTGGTGGTAGGGCCTCTGGTGAGTCCGCACTTGTAGGTACCACCGCCCCGCCTATTTCTGCCCTGAAGCAGTAATGCGTTTCGGTTTGAAGGGTGGGGCAGCCGTTGTGACTATACCGAGACCTTAGAACTATATCTCAAGGTGTGTGGCGCATTTACGTTGTAGATGTCTATGGGCTCCTGTAACCACTTAACACCAGGTGGGCTGTAAGCTCGACCACACATTTAAGCAATAACAAAAAAAACCGTAAAAATGATTTGTCAATGGTTCATTTTTTTACATTCAGAGCACATTAATCTCATTCACAAAACATTAAACCGCACATGTAGTTCCGTTTAATGGAAATTAATGGACAGATTACATATTAAATGAAATGTTCCAAAATGTATTTCAATTGTAGCGTTAGCAATGTAGTCAGTATATCAGAATTTAACGAAAATATATGTGGATATTTATTTGTTCGAAACCAGCCACCTATTTAATAAAACAATAAATTCGTTTTGGTGATCATTTTCATTTTCGTTGATAAACAATATGTTTCGCAATAACAGGCAAATTGTTTACGATCCCATTGTCTTGTATGTACTTTAATGTACTTTAATATACTTTATGTACGTTGTAGATGTGTACGGGCTCCGGTAACCACTTAGCATCAGCTGCGCCGTGAGCTCGTCCACCTATAAAAAAAGTTGTTTCTAGTTTTATTTTCAACGTAGTCACTTATTTGTAGTATGGCAGTAGGTTTTTATTTAAAACTAGCGACCCGCCCTCGCTTCGCTTCGGAAACATTAAAACACACATGAAACCAAAAAAATAAAATAAAATAAAAATTAAAAAAAGTAGCCTATGTTCATCAGGGACAATGTCGGCTTCTAATGGAAAAAGAATTTTTCAAATCGGTCCAGTAGTTTCACAAATCACAACAAACAAATCTTTCCTCTTAATAATATTAGTATAGATATAGATAATAAGCAGCATTTATATATAAAAACAAAGTATTCAAGGATAAATATCGCATTAAAGTTTGTTAAGAAAATAAATGAACCAATTAAATACTGTAAATAGGTATGTTAGTCTTTCTCAAAGACGTTCTGGTAAGACTTACAAAATGAATTGAGACAAACTCGTGTCTCAATTAATAATAATGCCTTCACAAATTAGTTGATACACGTTCGATTCACGTTTACTATCTAAGTACTGTCCTAGTTTCAAAATACTTTTGTTTGTCGTTAGCTCGGGCCTGAGTAGGTCAGACCGTACAATGTCCAACGGAAGAATGAACTTGCTCTAAGCCTTTTCATACTGGAACTGCATTGTGCATCAAATAACTATACACATTAATTAATCTTAACTTTACCGCCAGAGACTAACAAATAATATTTTTGACTGTGAAATGAAAAGAAAGAGGAGGATTTCGTTTCGGCAAGTATGTTTTTTGTGCGTGTTTACATAAATGTCGTATGTTTTTATGATGTGAAATAGATAGAAGCCTCACGTAAAACTGATTGCTAGTGTAGCGATGCTATGTTAATTGATAGTATATATACATATATATCAGTAGGGTATACAGTGTCGCAAGCGGCCCTGCGATTCTCTTCTCACTAGTTCGGCGTAGGAATTTAATTTATTATATTATATATTAGATAATAATTTAATATATTACAAACAGTTTCATTTTGCCACATCGTAAACTATTGTTTTGTGCATCTAAACCTGTACAAAATAATATCAATGTTTCATATCTGCCAACCTTCCAGCGATGGTTCACAATTGTTTTTTTTTTTTCCGGCTCTACACTCGCGGCGCGAACGGCCGCGAAAGCCCGCGACAACTGCGAATCACGAGTGTAGATGTTGTTCACGCGTTCTCGTTCGCGCTTCGCACCGTTTCCCAATCAGTGTCGGTTTTTGGGCCCGCGACAAGGGTTTGCGGTATGCGAAAGTGAACCCATCCACATTAGGGATGGTTTGTAACAGGTGAAATTAGAGACCTGTTCCACCTGTTCCTGTTCCAGTGAAAGAACAGTTCCAGTAGCCTGTTCCAAAATAACAGCCTGTTCCAATATAACAGCCTGTTGTGTTGCAACAGGTTTAATAATGTTATACGTAGAATATGTTCCACATAAAGGAACAATCATACTTAAAAATGGTTTAAGTACATTTTTTTAAATTAAAACAATCCTGCATGCTCCTTGTCAGGCTTAGTACTGACAACACGATTTATTAATATTAATGATATGTAAAACTAGTTTTGCCAAAATGTTATTACTGTACGTGAAAAGGGAAAAGAGCTTGTTCCAAACTGTTTCGTTTCTGGCTGTTTGCTGTGGAACGGAACGACACAACATATGGAATATTATGGAACAGTTGGAACAGTTGTTTCGGTCTATAGACAACAGTTCCAAGTTTTTTCATAGACGAACCTGTTCCGTTTGACTGTTCCGATAAATACGCCTCCTTCCTGGCCCCTGATCCACACTCGCAGTTTTCCGTAGTAGCGTACAAGACATCGTAGGGAGTGGTTATGCGTGCGTAGGTGATTGACCTAAATATGAATACTACGTGGTATAATTCGTCTCATCCACCAACGTCTTCTTCTCGATCTGTTTTTTGTGTGCTTCTTAACTTTAACACAAAGGTAATTAATACGCAATGGCATGCAGAGACACAGCAGCAGAAATCACGTCATCGTATATCATAGTCGTGAACAAAACTGGGAAGCTTGGCGAGTGTCGAGGGACACAGCTCTCACGCGGATCATGGCGTTTATGCACGGCGTGAATTCACGCAAAAAAAAAAACACACGCGAGTGTTTTTATTTTACTACCTAAGCTGATAGCCTTGCGAGGCTATATCAGCGTCGCCTTAACTAGTAGGTGAGCTTACGGGGCTCAAACCTGATAACGTTGCTAAAACGAACCCTAGCAAGAGCCGTGCTTCGCAGAGTCAACCACCGGATCGGAAACGCGACCCACTGAGAAAATCCGGCGAGAAACTCAGTGGGCTGTGTCTGAGGGTTAACGCGAGTGTAGAGCCGGAGTTATATTTATTAATTGCAGACTGGTTGCGTAGCGGGTTTCGTTGCAACTTTTTAAAGTATTTTTTGTTGCGTTCAATGACCCGCTCATATCATGTGGGGGCAATGGTGTAAACTGTTAACCAACTTGAGACAGAGGTCAAAGTTTCAATTGTCTCATATGACGACCTACTCTTGAAACTGGAACGCATGACTGCTTCGAGGTTGAAATAGATAGGACGGTGATATCTACTCGTGGGAGTTTACAATACGCCGTACCACCAGAAAAGAGTTGTTAATGAAACCTTAAATATAAATTTTGACCAAGCGTTAAAGTTAAATTTCTATTTAAGTATGTTATTTTTGTGAAAATATCAATTCCTAGAAACGTACATAAGTTTCTCTTTCATGATAATGCTTATATCGGAAATGAAGAACGCCTTCAGTGACCAGACAATCTATTTTTTTCCTGTACTTCATTTTGAACTTAGTGTTTTTATGTGCATTCATCTGTACTGTATTCTTAAGTCCAATCAATAACTTTATAACCTAAAGACCAGAAAACATAAACGTAAGTTTTTGCAATATCTCAATAATTCTCATAATTAAGTCGACTTTTTTTTCCTTTTTTTTATTGCCTTTGTAGGCAGACGAGCGTACGGCCCACCTGATGGTAAGTGGTTACCGTCGCCCATGGACTTCAGCAATGCCAGGAGCAGAGCCAAGCCGCTGCCTACTGCTTAATACTCTCCACAAGCCTCGTTTGAAGAAAGACATGTCATAGCGCTCGGGAAACACCGTGGAGGGGAGCCCATTTCATAGCCGGATGGTACGTGGCAAAAAAGACCTCTGGAAACGCACTGTGGATAACCGCAGTGGCTCCAGGCAACTTCTTTGTTATCGTAATATTGTTACTTCTTCAAAATGTCAAATCAATACATTTACCGCTATAACTGAACCCAATTGTATCTATAAGAAAAATGGCTTGAAAAATTTGTAGTCATCGCGCATGTAGAAGCGCATCTTTTTGCGATTAATATTAAAGCATATCCAAGCATGTTAACATTTTCAAAAAACACTCGTCAAGTATTGCATGACTGTAGCAGATCACCTTACGTCACTTCATTATAATTGGATTTTCCTTAATGCCAAATGCCGAAACAATTACCTGTGGGATAAATGATGATAGGCGTAGGTCTCTTGTTGCTATTGGCCGCCGTCTTAGCTACTGGCGAGACGTTATTTCCGGTAGTACTCGATGGACTGCTTGTCGTAATCCGTTCTAACAGCCCCAGAGGTCTTGATGTTGTAGAACGCATCATGATCTAAAACAAAAATGATATAATATCAGCCATTTTGTATTTTTCAGTTTCATTAGCAACTTTTTTGTGCAGTCCATATTCCGTCCGCTGGACGTAATTATTTGAATTCAATTAATATCTTAAACTTAGCTGACCCGGCAGACTTTGTAGAGCCCCAGTCGATAAATAAAAAACCTAATTTTTTTAATAAAATAAACTTAAAACAAACAAAAGGAATCCGTCCGACGGGGGAACACATCAAAGGAAAAACAAAATTGTTATTTTTATTTAATTTCGAGCATTTTCATATTTATCTACTTTTTAAACCTTCTCTGGACCTCCACAAATAATTCAAGACCAAAATTAGCCAAATCGGTCCAGCCGTTCTCGAGTTTCAGCGAGACTAACGAACAGCAATTAATTTTTATATATATAGATAATATAATTAAACCAAGGATTCAGAATACAGTTAACAGCCTTTGTCGGACTTTAGTCTTAGGTTTCCTCGAGTGGATACTAACTTCATACATACATTGTTACAGACATTACGTTGTTCTTATTTTACCTAGCCCTAATTTTCCCGGTACAAATGTACCATGTGGATCGTCAAATCGCCTGGGCATTAACGAAAATTATTAGCATTTTTATTAACAACTTCCATCTTTGAAATTGCCACAGTGTCTTTTTTAAACCAAGGATTTAAATTTTAATACAAGACAATACTATTGAAAATTGGCATCTAACATTATGTATGCATCGTACAGCACATCATCATCATCATCATCATCAGCAGCCTGCGGCAGTCTACTGCTGGACGTAGAGCACAGTACAGCATAAAAGCCTGTACTCTGGTATGCCCAGGGTTCGGAACGGTGACACACAAATAGGCTGAATGATCGGGTTCAGGTTTCAGGAGAGATATTCGATTATTTAGCCTGTAAAGCGGTTATTCAATATATTGAATACACATGGCTAATTCTTTATGTAACAGCTGTTATAAATCATTGCCTGTTTGCGGGAGTGCTTTACGTAGAACTGTAGTTTCAGTCCCGAAGTATTCATTACAGTCCTTACTAATGGCATAAGACTTATGAGGCTGCAGATTTATCCACTCAAATTCTTAAATGACACGTACTACGTCACTTTAGTAAATAACGTAAAATATCGAACGTAGAGGACAAATACATGGCTAAAATCATTTGGTGTAATGACTTTGCAGAAAGTTTTGGACGAGAACTCACCGATTTTAACAGCGAAAATGTTTACTTGAGGCTTGACAGTTTAAAGTTCGGGACCTTGTATCGATCGAACCTCGGAGGTATTTCTCATTAAGCTAATGCTTAAACGCGTTTCAATGCTTTTAAATTTGCATGGTGTGCTGCACTTTTAATGGCTTCCGAGGTATTAATGTGTAATGACTAGCGTAGTTAAAGGTTGGTTGGTCGTGCTTAATTATTTTTGAGTTTAACAGCATTCGAAAAAAAAAATCCACAGCTTTCGTTTTTTGTTTGTTTTCTTTTGTTATTTCGGACAGTCATTCAGTAAGTAGAATATATAGAATATTTTTTATCAAATAAAATTTACAAAAAAGTTTGTATCTATTCGTAATGAGATTTATTCCAGCGAACAATTATTCGAGGAAAATGAAAATGAGATACATGAGATATTAAATTATAAGAAAATTTATTGTAATTTTTGTTGTAAGTACATATACGCAAAAAAATACACTTAAAGATAGGATGTAATTTGCGTCATTCGATGATAATAACACAATTGCTTGAATGTTCATTGATTTGGTATTTAGTATTTAATTTTTATTTAAATTTTATAATGTTTATTGGCACATTCTATTTAAGCAAGTGTTTAATAAATTCGCAAAGAGTCATTAATATGTAAAAGTCCATCAGATTTAATCTTTCTCTACTGATGTTAGATAATAATTAATGAACACAGCCGTCGGGTGCGGATAATTTAGCTTCTCGTAAACATTTACGACACAGATTAAAACTGTCTGTATCATATGAATTGTTACAAACATGAATAAAATACTGTTTAATTTAGTATATGGCTCATCAAAAACTATGAAAATAAATCAGTGTTTCACAGTTTTCATGTCCAAAAGCAATGTCGTTGATGTAAAATAAATGTGTGAGTAATGAAATATTCTTACAGTTCCGACTTAGATTCTGATACAATTTTAGTAGTTTTATTCAATAAAAACAGTGAAAATGTGGAGTGTTTACGAGTTTCTAGGTTGAAATGCGAGTTTATTTCAACCTCGTCTCAAATCTGTTCATACGTTGCTTAATACTAGTGAAGGGTATTCGACATCACTGCATAATATATATTGAACCTTGAGCTCTGGGAAAATACTTATCTCTTATAAGAAAAGGTTTGTTGTTCAAAGAAGGTTTATCTCCTGACTCTTAGTATAGATTACAGTGCCGTTTATATTATATATAAGTAAGTTTTATACATTTGCTAAATTAGAGTTTTTTTTAACTTCTACAATAGATGTTTGTTGTAAAATTGACTCAATTATTGTATTTTACGTAGTTTTCTTCACTCAGCGGGGGACATATTTTATGAGATTGCTTTGGTGTGGTAACGTCTTACTCACCATCATTGTGTGAGGAACTAGCTATGCGAAAATGGCTTCCTTCCCTATTCAAATATAAGCGGTCGTTATTATTCCTGTCGTGAACTTTTTATCTCATCGAATAACTATGGTCCAATTGTGCTTATAAGAATATTTATACAGTTGTGCGGTCTCCACTCAAGAACGCGTTTACCCCAACGGTTATTGGTTGTCCGATTAATATGGCCAGCCCATTGCCACTTCAGCTTAATAATTCGCTGTGCTATGTCTATAACTTGAGTTCTCTGTCGGTTCACTTCGTTCCGGACTCGATCTTTGGATCTCGAGACTGCGAACTGGAAAACGCAGTGCAGGACGCCCTCAGGCTCAGTGGAGTGATGATCTGTGCAGGGTGGATGGCAGGAACTGGATGAGAGAAGCCGAGGATCGTGCTCAGTGGCGAACAATTGGGGAGGCCTATGTCCAGCAGTGGACTGCTATAGGCTGATGATACAGTTATGCGCATAATAATGCGCATAATAATAGAGGTTAAGGTTCTGTACATACAATTATTTTCTACAAGCTCTGTTCATAAGATTTAATTCGACGAAAAGAATCCGACGAAGAGAGATTTAGCCACCATTTTTGTCCGTTGCTTGTAATCCTTTATTTGTTGTACTGTGTTAATTTCTCTTTAATCTCGAAATGGATTTTTCTTTGGACTCGAGACAGCTTTTAGTTTCTGATAAAGGTTTTTTTTTAAATAGAAATGAGGTGCGATTTTTTTTGTTCATAAAATAGATAATTTGTAGAATTACCAATACTTTGTATGTGTATCAAAAGCATTTAGTTTGAGCGAACATAAAATGTAATGGTGGTTTATAAAATAATGGTAATTTGGTAGTCTCGTTGATTGAAATTCCAGATAATAATGACAGTAATTACAATTAACGCTTTGAACGTTAAGACTGAGTTTCATTTTAGTGCCAGTTAGGCTAAACCGAGATTCAAAAGTACATCAAGTTCAAATTTCAATTAAAGTTTAGGTATTAAATGAAATTTAAATAAATATTAATAGAATTTTCCTAAGACTCTGTTTAAAATCAGTGGTGGTTAAATTTCATGTCAAGTTATGTGTGCGGATATAGAGATTTTAGATTTCTTTGATAGCTCATGAATAATTGCCACGGATGTTAAAAGATAAGACTGACGTTAGGGCGCACTCGCGCCTTATTTGCCAATTTAGTTATTTAATTTAAAGAAGATACTTCGTGACGTGCAGGAAATTCGGCTCCAATTGATGATGATCATTGTTAAGTTAAAGTTTAACTTTGGCAGTGAATTGGATCAACTGTAGCAATGTGTTAGAACATTTAAGAAAGCACTTCTTTAAATAAAATCAATATGATGAAAACAAGAACCTTTTTTTCGATTTGGCGTTCGAAGCTCGTAAGCTGCTTTCAGACTACGCTATACTATAGTGTCATATAGTATAGCAGCGTATACTTAGTTAATAGTATATAATAGTACAGTGTGAACGTGTCCGTAACAATGTATGGTGCACGATGTTGTTGTGCTATGAGCTATATACTATGTGCTATTATAGCATAGTCTGAAAGCAGTTTTATGAGGTTGATGCATCTAGGGGGCGAGCCTGATTTCTGGGAGTAGGTGGCCGACGATGTTAAAGGCCAGGACTGAAGAAGTACCTAAAGAAAACCCCCCTAATATGGCACTTAAGTAAATTGAAAATAATGTTTCCTGCAAAAATTCATGAACGGTCAATACAATATTTTGAGTGTTTTTTTTTTTATTTAATTCGTAGAAATTTAGGGGAAACGAAAGCGAACCGCAGAAATGAAAAGCCATTCATAAAATTTTTGTTTGTGAGAAATCTTTATTTTACTGGAAACGACGTATTTTTGTTTCTAGAACGTGTTTCCTGCGCATAACGCGAAACGGCAATTCGGCTTTAGTGTTGTTTGACCTAATTTTCAAACAAATTGAATAATTTAACACTGAAGTTATTGCATGTCCAACAAAATATACACAGGTGCTCGGAAACGTTTTGTAATAAGCCGTTTTCATATGTAAATTGTATGTGTTGAACAGCATACTACGTTTTGTGAGCTACCTTTCCGCCATGTCTGTTCGAATGGAATTCTGTAATTGAGCTTCAAATAATTTTCTGACGAGCTAGAGATTAGAAAACAGAGACAGAGAATAAGGGTGAGATAATGTGATCAATGACAAAGAAAAAGAAAAAAAAAACATGGAGAAAGAAGAAAAGGAAGTACTTTTTTTTGACAAATAGTTCATTTAAAAATATTTTTATGCGCTGAGGTTTGGGATACATAAAAGTTCCATCAAAGTACAACTTAACACTCAATTAACACTTAAAATACTTAACTACCACTTTAAAATTCTCACTTCACTTCTTCCGCTT